AAAATAAAATATAATCAGGCCTTGTTTTTTAATTATTTAATTAGGACAGCAAGGTTTGACTGTGCTTAGACAAAAGTCTTATCACTTAATAGAAATGATGTACAGTATAGAGTAAAAAGGTCTTTCACTCGCTGTCAAGAAACGACTGAAAATTCAAACATTTAGTCTCCACTTCCCTTACTAATCTGCAATTGCCTCTCTGGTTCTACCGCTAACTGTATCACTATATATATATATATATATATATATATATATATATATATATATATATTTCTAATGTTTTGCTTGTTTTGCCATCAGTACTTATTCATTGTTGCTCTTATAGTTGTGTAAATGAGAAGTGGAAAAATAATTCATATTGTGTATGACTCAAAAGAAGGTAATGATTCGCAATCAATTGCTTCGTACTGTTTTTATTTTTACTTTTTCATACATTTTACGGGTGATACCTGACAGACAGTTGTTTCAGCCAAAACCTATTGTGTATGACTCCCATGAGCTTGGACGACTGCATCCATACATCTCTGCAATGACTCTATTAATAACTTATTATTAAAGTCATCTGGAATGGCAAAGAAAGCGTTCTTGCAGGACTCTCAGAGTTCATCAAGATTCTTTAGATTCATCTTCAATGCCTCCTCTGTTTTACCCCAGACATACTCAATAATGTTCATAACTAGTGACTGGGCTGGTCAATCCTGGATCACCTTGACCTTCTCTGCTTTCAGGAACTTTGATGTGGAGGCTGAAGAATGAGCTCCAGCGCTATCCTGCTGAAGAATTTGCCCTCTTCTGTGATTTGTAATGTAATGAGCAGCACAAATGCCTTGATACCTCAAGCTGTTGATGTTGTCATCCACTCTGCAGATCTCTCGTACAACCCCATTCTGAATGTAACCCCAAACCGTCATTTTTCTTTTACCAAACTTGACTGATTTCTATGAGAATCTTGGGTCCATGCAGGTTTCAATAGATCTTCTGCAGTATTTGTGATGAGTGGGATGCAGTTCAACAGATGATTCATTGGAAAAATCTAACGTCTGACACTTTTCCAAATGATCAACTAGAAGTCAAAAGTCATTATTTGTTACTCTTACAACTGAGACTTTTGTCAGGTAGTGTAGTTCAGTCAAACATGGTTTAGTATATACAGGAGTTTCAACCGCATTCAGCAACTGAATTAACAGACCATAACCAAACTAAAAAACTTGTTTTTAATGACATATTTAAACATTTCTCGGTGATCTCTCTTCAGTATGCGCTCAATAATATCCAACAACACGCAGCAAGAAATTGCAAGAAAAGATAACAACCTTGAACCACTTGTGCTGCCAGATATTACTATAAAAAACTGAAAACAAGATCAAGTCTGCAATAAAGACCTCTAAATAAAGTCTCTAAATAAACTCCCAGATCTTAAATAAAAAATGAACATCAATATATTACTTATTAATGTAAAATAAACCACCATCGATATATGGGTCAAGTCCACACAACAAGCTTAAAAATGCTTGTAATAAGCAGACGTGGCAACACTTGGAGAAAAGTGAAGTCCTTCTAAGGACTAACAAAACGTGACACCTTCTTTCAACTGAGGTGTAGGTCAAACTGCAGACAATACAGAGTGTGCAGTGCTGCAGAGTCTGTATATGCCTGAATGTTACTATGGCTACAAAAAAAAAAAAAAAGATTGGTATGATTATATATATAAATATAATATTCATCATGTGTATACGCATACAGTGCGGTAAATAAGTATAAAACACATCACCATTTATCTCAGAAAACATATTGCTAAAGAAGCTGTTGACTTGAAATTTTCACCAGATGTTGGTAACAGCCAAAGAAATCCATATATACAAAGACATTAAAACGAATTAGTTTACAAATGAATCTATGTGTAATAAATAGAAATGAAAGATGGAAAAAAGTATTGAACAAATGAAGAAAGCTGAAATCTCAGCAATCTTCTGCCCTTTGTCAGTGTAAATTAATATTAGCTGCTTTAGTCCAACATCTAGTAGTATGATGAAGATGAAACCTAAGTGGACATTTCAGTAAGATAATGATCCAAAACAGAGCCAAAGTAAATTCTCAAATGCTTTCAGAGAAAGAAAATGAAGCTGTGGAATGGCCCAGCCAATAACCTGACTTAAATCCAATAAAAAATACAAAACAAAGATCAGATTTGAGTTTTTTTTATTTTTTATTTTTTTTTAGCAAAATCTAGTTCAATTCCATGTAAATAGATGCTTAAAAAAAGATTATATCTAGGGAAAAACATGATGTGTTCAAAATTTATTTTCCACACTGTATGTATGTATATGTTCACACACACACACACACACACATATATATATAAATGCATTTATTCCTTTAGATATATGCATTTAAAATCCTAGTCTCTCGAATATTAAAGAAGCCAATCCTTTCACTGTCAAAACAAGTTCACCCCAAAAAAGTAGCCATTGATGACACCCTCAACTTGTTATAAGCCTATTTTGAATTTCTTCCTTCAAATGAACAGAAAAGGTGATATTTAATGAAGAAGGAGCGGAAACTGACTGATCTTTTCCCCCCTGCATATCTTATTTTTGGTTTACCAGTGGTGGGGTCAGATTTCTGTCTTCAAATCCATTCTAGCAAGGATCAACATTTATCCTTTTTCTCATTACTTCATTTAAATGATTATTTGAATCAGTACTTAATCTTTGAAATGACTTTGACTGATAAATAAATAAACATTATCTAATTTTGGAATGTATTTAGGAATGTTCTGTGTGTCTTTGTCTAATTCTATAATTAAGAATTGATTTCCTTTTTGTTCTCGATAGACTTTGTGTAGTAAGCTGCCAGTGTAGAAGTCGATTGTATTGTACTGGATTTTCACATTCTTCAAAATATCTTCTTTATGGTTTACCAGAAAAAAGAAACTCATTCAGGTGAGTAAATGATAAGTCAATTTTCTTTTTGGGTGAACTGAACATTTTTGAGAAATACACAAAGCTATGATTTAATGCATAAAGAGCAGATTTGCTAGAGAAACAGTGAGGCTTGGGATTACTTTTGGACCCTGGCTGTCATGAGCTGTCAAACGTGGTTTAACTAAACTGAGTGGCTCTGGCTGACTCCTGATATAAATGCAATGCTATTGAAACACTATTTCAAACTGCGACTTTCAAAGTCCTCCATGGGGCATTTAAATCTGGTAGTCACACTTGAAACAGTGTGTATGTGGCCTATAAGAAGTCACATAAAAGTCTATGATCAAAAGTAAAAGGAAACTAAGGCTACTTATGACAGCTTGTCTTAAAGTCTGGTTCTACATGGTTAAGAGTGGTTTTTGACTTGCTTATGTCACTTTAACTAAAGCCACTGATTCTCTGGGCTCTAGACATGGCATTTAGTGTAAATGTAGATTTATTTGCACATTATATAAGAGCATAGTTATAGGTCAGGCATAATAATGGCTAGAAATGTATAACAAGCTGCACAACTTGAGGTTTCATTCATTCCAATGGCAGAAAATATTTGCAGTAATGAGGGATAAAGCTAAATCATCACGCTCAGATTTATATTTTTCACCCAGCAAGATCCAATATTATCTAAACTTTCAATTCAACTGCTTCCTTTAATATATATGTTCTATTTTTGACTTTGTTTTCACTTTACACTGAACTGATATTGCTAAAACCCAGGGACGAGTACAATGCCTTATGTCTGATTGTGCTTGCATAATCTATTCCATTCAGAAAACAAACACGAATAAAGGAGAAACCGAGGTGCATGGTGCCACATACACATTTAGTGTCATTTGGGCTATTGTGGGAGGAAGATGAATAAGTGTTTGTGGCATCTGTAGATTTATTTTTTCTGTGGCGAGGTGTGCGCATGTATATTCATGGCTGTGAAAAAAGCAAACAAAAAACTACTCTGTTCTAACAACCATCACTCTCCTGAGATAAATACAAAAAGGCACTTGTTTAAACGCACATGACAGCCCTACTAAACACTTGAAGCATACTTCACTTCTGACACTTAAGGAGATTCTACTGTATTAACACTGCTACATATATGCAGATAATAATGGGGAGTTTAGAACAAGCAAGTTGAATATTGTTCATATGCACAACTAAATGATGTCCTTTATGAAATATAAAGATTAGAGAGGAGAAACACAAGCTCTGTTCCAAAACCCAGTGAGCAGCCTCGCTGCCTGCACTTTACATTTGGTAGTTAAACCCAAACTTATGTTGCAAAAACTTCTCAAACATGTATTTGACTGCAGCTTCGAGCTAAAATGAAGGCTACAGTTCAGGTTGATGCCAAAAAACTTTTTTTCATTGGCAATATGTTCAGCCTACATATTTGTAAAGCTGCAAAATACAATTGACTGCTGTTCTGAGGTAAAATGAAGGCTACAAGGCATTATGATGCCAAAAACATATATATTTTTTTATTGGAGATACGTTCAGCCTACATTTTTGTGAGACTGCAAAATACATACTGTAAAACCCAACAGCCAACTTTATCAAAAGAAAATAGTGTAGTTATGTAAATGTACTGGAAGATAATTCTACTCATTTGAAAAGAGTTTTGAACTCAGTGTTGAAGGTAATTAGTTAATTAAATACCTCATTAATTCAACTTAAATGGAGTAAGTTCACAGTACTCATGTAAATCAGTTTTTTAACTCAAATGGTTTGTTGCAATTGGATTCCTCAGTTTGAGTTTGTTTAAATTATTAAGTTTTACAGAACTCAGTTGGTTTGTGTTCTCTTCATTTATTAGGATTTACCTTGCTCAAATTGCTTCATTTACTCAAATGTATTAAGTTTGCAGTACTCAATTGGATTAGTTTTTGAACTTAATTGGTTTGTTGCAATCAGTTTGCTCAAATGGTTTGAGTTACCTTAACTTTTTTGGGGTTTTACAGTGCACCTGACTGCAGTTTCGAGGTAAAATGAAGGCTAAGGCAGTATGATTCCAAAAAGCTTTGCTTTTTTTTTTTTTTTACAGTAATGATATTTACACGGACATATTATAAACAAACAAAAGAAGAACCTCAAATAAAATAATCAAATATATTTGCCTCGCCTATCTATCTACATAATTACAACTTTCCTGCCATGGTCAGTGTGCTTGGTAGCTCACTTTGTACGGTGTTTTACTAGTTTTACTAGTATTGTACAAGTGCTCAGGTTTGAGTAAAGCATGCTTTCTCAAAAGAGATAATATCAGGATAAAATGGTGTGGTCGCAGTGCATTTTTGTCTTACGCTTGCTTTTGAAAACATTATTGCTTCAGTTTAGGGAAGGGTTTAGATCAGTGGTTCACTAGATGACCTATATGACAAGCTCTGCCTTCATGTGGGTTTGTAAAAGGAAGATGTGTATCTAGAACATCCATCAAAACATACCGTCTAAGTATAATTTCAGGTTCCCTCAAATGCAGACGGCATACTCTAGTGTTTTTTTTACCTGAAATGTGCAATGAAATGTACCCGGAGCAAAGTAGTTTACGCTTTAATGTAGACTGAGGCATGGATATATTTAAAGAGCCTTGTTCCTTTTGATATAATTTTCGTCATTAGGATGGGAAAGTCTACACACTGCTAGTCTATTTTTTTCCATGCCAACAATGTGCATACAACAGCACATACTGGCACACGCAATGCAAGGGTAATCTTGAAGCAAATTGTTTCTGCTAGGTAGAAATATGCACAATTGTACAATATTGTGCAGCACTTGGAGACGAGTGCACACCTGCGGTTCAAAACAACTGAAGGTAAAAATATAAAATAAAATCCTAAAGCATTTGCTTTACATTTCGTACTCTATGCTTGAGAGGAACTGTCTAGAAAGTACTACAAAGCCACCCTCCTATGTTTAGTTGTGCTTAAAAAGTGATTATATTGGACTGTACATACTGTCCATGAACACTCATTTGCACAGATTTATGTGTACTTTAGTGTATCTGCAAATGCCAATATCTAATAGTTTTTCAAAGACTCCATTTGACAGCTTGCAAACACACTGGCATTTGACACATGCACATTATAATAATTCGTCCTTGTCTAAGTCTGTGGTTCCACTCTACAAAAATTAAATGTTAAAAAAAAGAGTTGTGAGTAACTTTTAAAACCATCTCTGTCATCTTCAGATTTCTGTTCTTGTTGTTTGTTGTTTTGTTTTTTCTTTCCTAATGGAAAATGGCAGTCTAGTTAAGTTTTGACAACTTATGAACAAACAAATTAGTGCATGGACAATACTAGCACAATAAAAAGCACATGTGCATGTTACAGGAATTAGCCTTAAGAAAATTGCATACTATTCTGGTGATCCTTGCGTAACACACAATGTAAGCAGACCCTTGCTTATTTAAAAAAAGAGCAAAGCATACTTTGGGTATAAAGCAGGGGTGCTGTGGCACTTGGAGAAGTGGGTAAACACTTAAAGTCTACTCCTAAGTCCTAATTACTTTTTAAAGCAAGAGTTGAACACTATGTCTTACAACATGACACGCAAGTCTAATCTTGCATAATTAATGCTCCCCAAAATGGGCCAGTGGTGTTTGCACATAGCCATTTAACTTCTGCTGCTTCACATTGTGGAGTAAAGATCATTATAAAATGAATATTTGTCACAGAAGAGTTGCAGAATTGCAGTCAATAGGAAAAAACAACTACATAACTATGAATTCAGAGTGAACTATTGCTTATTCTTTAGTCCATTCACCAATGAAAATTGGAGAACTCACCTTGCATAGTCTGTGCCAGTACAGAAAAGAGCAGTGTGATGCGGTTATTTTATGTTGCTAGGCAACCAATGAATAAACTGCTTTACTGTATACAATATACAATAGACGACTGTATTAAAGGCCTGGGAATACTTAATTTTGCATGTCTGCATAGCTGCAAGTATACTCAAGCGCAGATAAACAAGTTCAGCTTATGCACTCTTCTGCCTCAACATTCACTGTGCACATACACTGATGTGCCCACACTGTTGGCATGGACACAGAATTTGGGTTCCAGGTGGATAGTGAGTCTACCCGCATTATGGAATGTTGACAGAGTGTAATTGTCATCTGGGCTTAAAGCTGTATCATAATTATAATCATAATGATCCAATTTGGGCTCTATATTGGCAGAAATGGTCTTATAAATGGGAGACTCATATTGCCGATTAAATACAGCTGACATGAGAATAATTTCATGTTACACAATTTTAGCCAACATTTTGCTGCAATTATTTACATTTTAAGTGAAAGTTGTAGTAATTTGATAACAGAGATAACAGAGCCAATGAATGGCTACAGAAAAATACCATGAGAAGAAAATAAGGGGAATTTGTGCAAACTGTGTAAATTTAGCAGAATATTTGGTAACACTTCAGTTTAGGTCACAAATCATGCTATTAACGACTGGCTTATTACCTGTCTATTATTAAGATATTAACTGTTCCTTAGTAGTTATAAAATATGATCTAATTTTTCATCCCTAATCCTACCCAAAAACTTCTACCTAACTAACTATTAATAAACAACTAATTAGTAGTTTATTAAACTCGTAGTGGTAGGTAATGTTTTGTTCATACTGTAAATTGTGACCTAAACTAAAGTGCTAATATTTTTGTGCCTCATCTCCAAATCTAAGCTTACAATAAGAGTAGCTTATTTGGGGTTGAGGGGTGGGTTCAAATTCAAGTTGTTGAGCACAAATTAACATATTGAAATTTTCCGTTGGAGACTGAAGCTTTTCCATTAGAAGAATAAATTACATTCCAAATCCATTAAAACAAGACTGTTGTTATTTTTTTAGAAAATGTTTTTGCTGTATTTTTGGCACAAAAAAAAAAAATCAGCCTTGGTGAGCAATAGAGAGTTTCAAAAACATTTAATCGAACCTAAACTTTGGGACTTTGTGAATTGAGAAAACAAAAACAAAAAACCTTATCTATTCTCTGCAAAATAACATTACCTTGAATCTGGCAAAAACAAGGTGACTTTCTGTAGACAGAATACACTCAAGGCTCAGAGGTTTTGGAATAGAGCAATGATTTGCAATTTTCAACTGCATAAAACATACTATGTACAAACACCATTTTGAAGGTGTAACCCGTCAGAAGCAAGACTCGGGCACAGGTCTCTGCCTGCCAAGTGAAGTGCTGCTGTATTTGATTCTCTGTAGTGTTGCATAGGAGGATTTATCAACTGCAAGTCCTTTGTTGGAAGCTGGCACCAGGGGACCATTTCTTTGGAGAGATAACGTCCTTTTTAAAGTCATATCTAGCCTGTTTTGAATATTTGAAGAGCTGTGGGCACGTTTCATATCAATAGTGTTTGAAAAAACCTGGGTGTCTCTGCCATTTGTTTTACTTGTGCTCTTGTGAACAGTACCAGTTTTCCTCACCTCAACGACCTTCCCATTCAAAGTGCCATTGGACAACGAGAGTTTGGTCAAGCTCTTACTAGACAGTGTTTTTCCATGACCCACCTCCTTAGAGCACCCATCCTGGAGCTGAGAGGTGCTGCTAACGGGATGGATGCCATCTTTACCTCTGCTTTCTCCTGTGGCCATCAGAATCTGACTGGGATGAATTCTGCTAGTTGCAGCTGCCGGGTTTCGAAGCCGTTTCAGTGTGGAGTCTCTGGAATGAGATGTACTGTTACCAGTGGAAAGTGCAGTAGGAGAACCTTGAAGTGACTTACTAGCCTGAGTCCTTTCGTGCTCCTGCCGGGTTGTTTTTGAGCATTTTTTTGCTCTCGAGTCGACAGAACTGACAGCATTAAGATCTGAAGTTGGTCTACTCTGGCCTTCAGGCACTTTTGGAGAATCCGGGCCTTGAGAGCTACTTCTCTCCACACCATTGAGACTGCTGCAACAGCTGGGGGAACTCAGGGAATCATCTTCACGAAGGTGGCCTTTGACCTGTGAAGGACTGGCAACGATGCTTACTATAGGCTCCTTGGTACATCGGGGCCGTCGGCCAGATTCAAGGTACTCCACTAGCTCATCGTTATCATTTTGTGAAGTGATGCTGGGGGGTTTTCTGCGCTCCTTGGAAGCAAACGACCAACGCAGTGGAAGAACTTTTCCTGAACCCGTCTTGGATTTGGACTGGTAGCGCATGCTCATACTCTGGCCCCGGACGCTTCGTACAAATGGTGTTGCTTCAGCTACATCTAAAAGTAACAAATACAGGATTGATAAGTCATATTGCATGCTACAATGTTGCATTGTGATCCATAATCGCAATTTGTGGATAAATGTGATAGGTAAAAACATGGCTGTTTAATTGTACACTATTTGATGCTACCCAGGCTCATTAGAAAAAGATGACTTAAAAAAGACTTTTAATTTTACTACACTTAATAAAAAAAATAGGTAACTTAAAGGAGGATTTACTATCCAAAAAAATAAAAGGCTAGATTATTTTAAATCAATATACCTAAATTGTTATACTGGATGCCACTATCCCTCAAATTACTATGTAATTACAATGGTGTATATGCACACAGACTTTTAAATTCAGTCTGCCAGCTCCATGGCTTTTGGTTAATTGTCAAACCTTACGAAATTAAAAATAGTCACATAAAGACTTCACAGGAAGTTCATCACTGGCTGAAAAACACTAGCTGTGCATATTGCCAATTTTCAGCAAGTTGGTGGTTTAAATTAATTCAATAAACAAAAAAAAAATATCTATGCTTACTAATAGTTTTATACACAGCACTGTGCAAAAGTCTTTGGCCTTCAGCATTTTCACTAACAACAAAAACATATTTTTAAGTTATTGAAAAACCAAAACTAACCGAGACTGACTAAATCCAGAAGGACTGTAGCTGTATTTTCAAGACATTTCAGGCAACCTGGTATGCCAAAGTAAACTGTACCTTGGAGAAAAGCGATTTTAAATGCAAAGGATTGTAAATTAAAGTAAAAAATATATATATACTTAGTACAATTAATATTCAGAAATGCAGAAAGACTGAATTTAAATTCATTAATTTTTTTTTTTGTTGGTAACAATACTAGTGACTTAAGAACTGTAGTTCAACAAAAGAATTAAAGCTATATTAAAGCTTGATTAAAATAGCATATACAGTAGTGCTCAGCAAATATAAGTACATCCCTCACAATTCTCTCTTTTAAATTAATATTTTTAATAGGAAGCTATACAATATTATAATTTGTATATATACATTATATACATACAGTAAACACACACACACACACACACACACACACACACACACACACACACACACACACACACACACACACACACACATAATTTGTATATAAATATACAATATACAATATATTTGTGCATATACATTAGATTAGTCAGTACTGAAGACAAATCTGGAGCTTACATATCAATATAACTTCCGATAACGGTCCAAAAACTAGTAGAGCCAAATTTATATGATATAGAAAAATATTAAATACAAATTTAAAAAAGAGGAAAAATCAAGAGAAGCAAAAAAGTAAGAACTTTGGTTAAGATTTTGTAGGTTGTAATTTTTATTTGCAATATTTTGCTTGAATTGTTTGATCTTTCAATTTCTAAACATGTTTGGTGACTAAAAAATTATTTAAATAAATGTATCTTTAATAAATCTGTTTTGTTTAAATGCACCAAAATACATTGCCTATATTCACTGAGAAATGGAGAAAAATATACATTTTTAATATGAGCTGCAATCAATTATTATTAAAGATTTTGTGTCATTTTTTATTTGATATCACAACATTTTTCCACTTTGAAACTGCCACCACATTCATGAAGCTACGTAATATATGTTGAAACATTTTTAATGAGCCTGGGTTGATGTAAGTGTATTAGACTTTCCTGTAACATTTAGCAATACAACCTTGTTCATTCATATTAGCTCAAGTCAATTAAACATGAACAGATTTTGAGTACAATGCATTAGTAAATGCTGACATTAACATTAACTGATAATTATAAAAGTTTAAGAAATATTTTTTCAATGTTACAAAATATAAACTTATTGTGAAGTTTCACTCAGTATATTTACTGAACGTGTTTAAAAGAATCTTCTAAAGCTCTTAATCTGAAAATTATTTGCAATCAAAATCAAGCCATTGTTTCATTGATTACATCTCCAAACATAGTTATATATTTATAAAACAGAGACTATTATATGTAATTCACTTGCATAAAATGAACAAAAAGCAACAGAGCAGACAACATATGATCCATAAACAGTAAAACAGAATATATTTATTGTTTTCTATAAAAGAAGACAAAGCAAGAGTTTACTGACCTCTGTTGTCTTCATTTGCAGACTTGTGGATGACAGGACTGTGAGGGGTTTGAGGCTCAGGAGCCGAAGATGAATTTGACACCTTGCTGGTTGAATTGGAAATTCCTTCATCTGCATTTAATCGGATGAGCCAGTGATCTGACAGAGATGAGCTGGAGGAACCTGCAGGTCAAAAACAGCCTACTTAATCAACATTGCTTCGAGTATGCAATTCAAAATGCTGTCTGAAATGCTGATAAATGTTGAACATGCACATGTTGCTGAATACATAGTAAACTAATTTATTTAATGGTTACCCAGGTATCACAAAATCCGACCCGGATTTGGCATAAAGCTGGCACAGCAGGCATTCTTCCAGCACTGGCATACAGCATGGGTTTGGCAGAGCTGGCACCGTCCTTAAAGTGGCACACAAGATTTGGGCCAGACTTAAGATATAGTATTTGGCCCAGATGTGGTGGGCCACAAAAGTTTGGCCTGTTTGACCCACTTTTAAAAAAAAACATTCAAATTGTTTCTGAGAGTAGAAAAAAAAAAATCTACCAATCAGGTCACTTTGAGAAAAAGCATGCCCATAGTATGCCAAAAGCGCAATGTTTCATGGGTTTATCTATTTAATTTTAATCTTCACACACCAACCTATCTGGCCGAGCTCAGGCCCAGTTATGAGTTATTAATTTGGCAGAGACTTGACCCAGATATGGTCCATGTTTGGCCCCTTTACGAAAGCCAAACATGGTCCAGTCATGCACCGTCAATCAATGCGGCATGTGGGCCAAACAAAACCTGATTGTGTGGGCCAGAGAAATCTTGCTATGTGGATATGGTCATACATTTTGTTCAGTGATTTTGGTTTTAATTTTACTCAGAAAGACATTCCTGAGCTTTTCTAAAATAAACACTCAGAAAAATGAGATGGAGGGGATCCAATCAAGTGTTACGGCATGCATACAAATGATCAGAAGGTGCTGGCAGACATCAGGAGAAACAACCTTTAAAAACACGCTACACAACATGCTAAATTGCAGCAAATGAACAAAAATGTCTGAGAGGTGTTGAAAGAAACAATGCACTGATAAACGACCTCTCTGCCTTTACTCTTCAAAGCTTTATATTTTAAAATCATAATGTAATATTTTTTGAAAGGTCTGAAAGCCTAAACGACTGTTTGAAAGAAGCCTGTAAATGTCTATAGTCACTTTGGATCTCCAGTTTCTTTGAAAAAACAAAAAAAGGATTTCAAAAGAAAGTATGTGCCAGAGTGTTATCCATTCAGTGAATTTCAATGGGGTCCAGTGTTCGTCAAAATATTTTTCTTTGTGCTTGTACAGAAGAAGAAAAACCATACTATTTGAAGCTACATGTTTTAGTTTTTCGGGCTTTAATATTCTGTGGGTTTAAATTTTCCCTATAAGTCAGCTGTGTAAAGAAGAAACAACATGTTCTCGTGGAGAACAGCTCTAATTCATATGTGCAAGATATATTGCAAAGCTAAGTATTTATTATAAAGATTGACAAAACATGTGAGATGAAAAAACAGGTGTCAAAACATTATTACTGGCTCATTTAGAAGTTTTAGTGTTTAAATATTCTTTAGCTGGTTAGTCTGAAGGTGAGTTATGAAACTTTGATCTAAATCACAACAGTGTAGGCTTAAGGTCACCACTCAAATTCCACAAATGGCAACCCCATAGTTGAGTTGTTGAGCTTGAAGCTGTTCTATCAAAGAGGTGAACTCATTTGCACATAACTCGTTTATTCCATGTGGGAGCTACTGATAAACGATCCATTTTAATTAGCACAATGGAGAAACCTGAGGTCTCTGCATGACACTTTGTATCTAATTTAAGAACCTCTGAAAATGTAAAAACAGAGAATAATCATATAATTAAATAACAGGTCACCAAAATAATTGTTCTTATATCTTAATGACATTAAATGCACCACTTGACATTACAAATGTACCAACCATGCATTTATTTTCCTTCGGCTTAGTCCTTTATTTATCAGTAGTCACCAGAGTGGAATGAACCGCCAACTATTCCAGCATGTGCTTTACGCAGTGGATGCCCTTTCTACCGCATGTCTTTGGACTGTGAGGGAAACCGGAGCACCCGGAGGAAACCCACACGAACACGAGGAGAACATGCAAACTCCACAAAGAAATGCCAACTGGTCCAGCCGTTACTCAAACCAGTGACCTTCTTGCTGTGAGGCAACATTGCAAACCACTGAGCCACCATTCCACCCCAAATATGTGCAAAAATATTAAGAATGCACTGATGAAACGGCCATTAAAGGCAATTTTCAATGTTATCGCCCATTAATCAATTGCTTACAAGCAGCCAACAATGAGGTCCAATTATAATCTGTCAATCAAAACGGGGCTGGAAAAACGCATCAACTTCATGATGTGTAAAGAAAATCTATTATGCGTATAATTACTTTGAATTCAGGAACAGTAGCTACATTTCCATTATTCTTCAATTGCACAAAATGAAATTGTGAATTGAATACACTCTTCATTAATCATCTGACAGCAATACGCAAGTCTATTGACATCCATTGTCATAATTTGAAAATCATTTTTGCATTTTAGCCACATAACATTTTTTTTGATGAATATAGAAAATGTTAGAAATGCTGAATATATATAGAATATATAGAATATATAGAATATATTTGAAAATAATGCAAATCTGTAATAGAAACTTAGCTTATAATTTCATCAAAACCTTTTATATAAACATATTCTTTAAAACAAGCAATTAAAATGATTTACTTAAAGTCGATGTGATGGCATCAATTGGTGGTTCTATGTTAGCATATCCTTTGTAGTTTTGATAATTTTATTAAATTTAATTATCTTAAATAGTTTTTTTTAAATGTTTAAATAATCATGTTTAAATGCTGTTTTCAGATCTATTCAGTAGGTATCAAATCTCTCCTACAAGCAACTGCTAATGGCGACTGTCTGGTTCCAAAGTTTAAGGGAAGTTTTGGTCAATCTGTTTTCTCTGTTAAGGGAACCAAATTGTGAAATGATTTACCTGTAAGCCTAAAATTAGAAAGCAACATAAATGTTTTTAGTAGTATACTTAAAAAGTGGTTAAAAACAAAACAGCAATGTTTGCACACATAATCTACAATTAGTTTGTTGATCTTGCAGCCTTTGCTTTTGCCTATAGCACTTTTATTTAACTTTTTTTTTTAATGTTTGTGTTTATAATGTGTTTTTTTGTTTATATGTCTCTGTTTTATTTCCATTTTAGGTCAACCCTTCCGTAGATAGGTGTTCTGAATGAGCAAGTCTCCTAAAAAAACAGTGTAATTATAACATTCATGTCAAAATATATATATATAAAAGAAATAAAGTATGTAAAAAATAAATAAATATGGAACTCATTTTTGTTCACTAAAACATTCATTCATTCATTTTCTTTTCAGAACCGCCAACTTATCCAGCACGTGTTTTACGCAGCGGATGCGCTTCCAGCATCAGCCCATCACTGGGAAACATCCGGCGAGGCAGTGGCGCAGTAAGTAGTGCTGTCGCCCCACAGCAAGAAGGTCGCTGGGTTGCTGGTTCGAACCTCGACTCAGTTTGCATTTCTGTGTGGAGTTTGCATGTTCTCCCTGCCTTCGCGTGGGTTTCCTCCGGGTGCTCCGGTTTCCCCCACAGTCCAAAGACATGCGGTACAGGTAAATTGAGTAGGCTAAATTGTCCGTAGTGTATGAGTGTTTTTGTGTGAATGTGTGTGTGGATGTTTCCCAGAGATGGGTTGCGGCTGGAAGGGCATCCGCTGCATAAAAACTTGCTGGATAAGTTGGCGGTTCATTCCTCTGTGGCGACCCCGGATTAATAAAGGGACTAAGCCGACAAGAAAATGAATGAATAGGTGTGAGGCGATAGCACTATCTACTGCGTCACTGCGTCGCCTTTCATTAAAACAAAAAAGTAAAACAAAAACACCAAACTATCAGTATTGTCGGATTTCACAGAAATGCCAGCTGTATCTCTTTCAGTTGAGGAATTTTATATTTTTAAATTATAATTTTTTTCTTTAAGGGTTAAGGGTTAAGGGCATCCTTTACTTTCTTTCATGTCTTACTAAACACGACAAAAAATGTTTACCCTCGGAGCATAAAGAAACTTCAAATGGAACCTTTGAGATTGAAAAGAGTTTTCTGTCGCTCAATAATGAAACCTAAATTCATATAAATCCAAGCTCCAGCTAAAACATGCTACAGTAAATACTTGAAAATCTAGTAATGTGAACTAAACCTAACAATATGCAACATAAACTTTCAATCCACCAGCACGACAGGCAGATTTTCAAAAGCTCTGACAGACGTCCTTGCATTCATCTCACATCAGTTGACTGCCACCCAATGTGTCTCACTTGTCATCTGCATAAAGTTAAACGTCGCTCAACTTTTTGATGTGTGAGCCTGTTGTTCACCTCCCATAGAGAATGCATTGAAAACGTCTGCTCAGCTTGCTTCAGTGAACACGCGTGGTTATGTGGCTTCGTTATAAGTTTTTAGGTTCTGTAGAACTTTACTTATGATCACATGCTGCAGATTTAATTTCTGAATTATCATATCCACCTTTTATTGCAAATGACTACTGTGCTTTAAAAGTTTGGCATGAACTTCCAGTTTGAAGAACTTCCATTGAAAAGAACAGAAATAATTTAAAAAGCAAGCGGTAGATTGGCTTTGTGATTTCTTTCTGTCTGTCATGAAAACAACATTTGGTATTTTAACATGACATTGTATCACAAGCATGTCTGTGGTTGTGGTTTGAATATATTCAAAGCAAACTTAAATGCCAAAGCATTTTAGATATAAAATAGCTGTAATATAGCCTAATGAGCAAATGAGAAATAAATGACAGAAAATGCAATTACAGACAATTGGCCCTATCATACACTAATAAGGCGCAAGGTGTGTTTGCCCCAACGTGTTGCTATTTTCAGACCAGCGCAACCTTAATTTTCTGGTTTTCCACCAGGTTGTTTAGATAGCTAATCCATTTGCGCCACTTTGTGGACTCACAGATGTTCCTGTAAAGGAGGTGTATTAAGGTGCATTGCTGGCGGGTTGCTATGTGGAGGAATTAAAATAACTGCCCAATAGATCATCTGAAAGCAGGTCTA